GGGGGGGGGTGCGCCGGGACGACGTTTTACTTTAAACGGAAAAAAAGGGGACGCCGAGATGCCCCCGGAAAAGTCACGACTGAAACTCGCTGCGTCATGACCCTCCCACCTTCTTCCGCCGCTTTTTAATTACGCCAGTTCTCCCCGAGCGCTGATTGGACAGCCCCTGCCCATCCGCGCGATGACGCGTCGGAAACTCCGTCTCCCATTGGGGGTGGCTAGGAGGCGGGGCTGGAGGGCGGGGCTTCCCACCGGGAGCTAAAAATATACCGCGGCCGCTATAGCGCGGTTGGGCGCCAGCAAGGTTTGAAGGCTTCAAACTTCCAACGGGTGGGGGCGGGCGGGAGAGGCGGAGAGAGAGAGAGAGAGAGAGAGAGAGAGAGAGAGAGAGAGAGAGAGAGATAACATTCTCCCCATTGATTGGCCGGGGCGGAGCGTAGGGCGGGGCAAACGGCGGAGGGCGCAGTGATTGGCGGAATGGTGAGCGGTTGGCGGGCTCGCTCCCTCTGAGCCCTTACAAGACACGAAGCGCGTGGCCGTGGCGGGCTGGCTGTGGGTTGGCTGGCTCCTCCCTCGGTGGGGTTTGTTTTTTTTAAAATCACCCTTTTGCTATGTTAGCGTTAGTAAATCTGGGTTTGACGACGTAGGAGGTGACTAAGCGTCATCCATGGCGGAAGGACCGTGGGAAGAATGGAATCTGCGTTAATTCAAAATGTTAGGAATGTCATGAAAAAAACAGTGCGAGTCTCGTCAGTTCTGGTGTCAGCCCCGTGACGTGCGGGGCTTGGCGCATCTCACAGGAGACAGCGCCCGGGCGAGGACCGGCTGTAACTTGAAACATTTGTGCGGTTAATTCAGTAGGCAAACGTGAACCGCCAGCCCTCCTCGGGAGCGCCTCCCGGCCACCTGGAAAGGCAGGGTTGCGGGCGACCACTCCTGTGCCGGGCGGGCTGGCATAGTTATCTCGGGGGTCTCACTGAGAAGGAGTCGGGACGGGCTCCGCGTTGAAGTGCAGCAAGGGATGCCAACCCGCGAGGCCTTGGTCTTGGAAAGAAAGTTGGCAGCCAGGCCTGAGAAAATGAAGGTGCCACTGAGAGACTTACCAGCCAGGGAGATTCTTGAACTTGGTGCTTGCTAGCTAAGCACTTGGCCACTGCTGTGAGTCTGCACCTGTTATTCTTGGACTGTGTGTCACTGTAGACTTGCAAAGGCCTGAGTGGGACCCCACTTGCTGGTCCTGACCCTTGGAAGTGATAAACACCTTTGGAGGTTCTGTCTTTCGTCGTAATGAAATGTTGCATTCAACTCTATATTTTGAAACCAAGGGTCTCAAAATTCACTCTCCAGTGTATCCTGTGGATTTGGATACCCCCTACCACAGTGTTTTTGAGCAGATGGTACTAAACTCCTTGGTGGATTATAAAATCAGTTTAGCGTTACCTTTTTAAAAAAGAAGAAGAGAATAGAAAATAGTGCATTATGCATAGAAAGATTGAGTGTGTGTGTATATTTATAGATATGCTATATATGTTTTGTGTACTGGGATTCGTTGTAAAATATCTTTCTTACTGTGGATTACCTCAAAAGTTTTGAAAGCACTGCCCTAGCCTAGGAATATTACTAATCCAATTCCAGAAGCACAGTTGTAAAGGAAAATCTCACTCAAGAAGTTTTCCAATTGCTGTCTTAATGCCCTTTAAGATTAGATCCAAGAGTTGAGAAGATCCCTTTATTCCAGAGTGAGGAGAATTTGTTTGGTTTAATAAATGACTGAGATTAGCTAAAATAGTAGGGATTAATAGTAAGAATTCACAGAGAAATACCTGACTGCCAGAACATGATTAGAAGAAATGAACTTTCTTTTGTATCCAAAGTAACTCTCTTGATTGGTAGATAACTCTTTGACCTTTTACTTTTCAGCAGCTGGAACATCTGCTGCCACCAGTCAACCTGTCTTCAGCGGGTTCTACTTATTCAGGACTGCTCCATCTTGTGGCCTTTGCATGCTGCCTTCTCTCTGTGTCCTCCCACTGCTGTTCCCTTTCTCTGCAAACTAAGAACTCTGTGTCTTCCATTTAAGCTTCCAGATTACGGACATGATCAGGTCAGTTAATAACCATCGTTCTTTGAATGAGAAGCTCATATTAAACATATAGATTGGTCAGTTAGGTCTCTGCTGGCCTACACCATGGCTTTTGGTGGCTATAGAAGCTATTTGAAACTTGGACTGTCTGACATCATGGCATTTTTATTAACTTGCTGTGAGCATTTCCAAGTCCAATGACATCTGATTTCTAGTTCCAACCTATTTTTTTTAATTCCTGAAGATAATATACAAAACTTTTTTATCATTGGGTTAGACTAACATAAGAAAGAGTAAAAACCACTGCTGGCTTGTTTTTACTGAAAGGCTATTTGTGAGATTATTTTACATGAAAAAGGTGACCTCAATGAAAGCAGACATTAAGGAGTTTCATTGCTGTGGTTTTGTTTTTTAAATATTTGGTGAGGGAAGACTGGAGAAGAGCTGGACTCATCTTAATCTTGGCATAACCCGCATCAGACTGATCTCTTATGTCTCACATTGGTATTATTCAAGATCAAACAATGCAGACTTAGAGAAACATGCTAAGATCATTCTATTATGTGGTCATCTTGGAGTTGGAGGGATAGATCCCCTTTGTGGATGGAAGACGATGTTCCACCACAGAGAATTGATTGTCTTGCCCTCGGTATTTTAGGATGAGAGCCATCCTGGGAAGGACTAGTCCCCTGACTTTCACTGGGATCAAAGAAAGCTCACCCTCTCTGAAGCAGGGTATCAGTTTAGTATGAACTCTGAGGTATGGAGTTGCATGGAGTGCTTCCAGAAGAGGGAAAGTGAAGTAAGCCACCCGTTAAGTCTATGGTGGGAGGCCATGTGTGAGAGAAAGCCAGTTCGGCAAGGAACTGTGAGGACAGGTCTAGGGCTATACAGGCATAAGCACTGTGCCTGGCCAGTGTTATATTTTTAAGTTATCTGTTGGAAAATAATGAAGTATGTATGAATGAAATATATGATGTTTATGATTTGTCTCAAAACAATCCATGGGTAGGTGGGGAAGTGGGTAGAGCATAGATGAAGATGACACAGAGTTGTCCATGACTCAGTAAACACTGAAGTAGGTGATAGATGTGGGATTCATAATCGTTTTCTCAACTGTTACAGGTTGAATTCTTCCCCCCACAAAAGGATATTTTGAAATACCACCCTCTCAGAATGTGATCTTATTTGGAGATAGGTCATTGCAGATATAATTAGTTAAAATGAGATCATATTGGAATAGGGTGGGCCAATCCAGTGTGACTGGTGTCCTTATAAGAAGAGGAGACACAGATACAGAAGAAAGACAGTCAATGGGAAGACCAAGGCAGAGACTGGAGTGATGCTGCCACAAGCCAAGGAACTACTGGCCTACCCAACGCTGAGGAACTACTTGAAAGGCAAGGAAAGATCCTTTCCTAGTACCCTCTGAGGGAGTATGGCCCTGCCACCACCTTGTTTCAGACTTTTGGCCCCCAGAACTGTGAGCAAATAAACTTCTGTTGTTTTAATATACCCAGGTTGTGGTACTTTGTTAACATCAATCACAGGAAGGAAACTGGTACATCAACTATCCTCAAATTGTCAATAAAGTTTCATTAAAAGTTTGAATCTGGCTTCTGCTGGGCTGCAAATGAAGTTGGCCTCCCACTCTCCCCAAGACCAGAATGTTCCTAGTAGGAGCTTTCATCAGCTGAAGGCTGCCATGCCCAGCAGAGCAAGTCTCCTGAGGTTGCTGGTGGCAGTGCCCAGGCTAGACAGCTGGAACAGAACACCTGTTCTGGGACCTGTTCCTAAGAACCTGTGCAAAAGCACCTGAGGGATGTTCAAGAAGAGCCAGGAGGCTCATTCCTTGCAGTAAAGCAGGTAATGGTTTGTGCCAGTACAGCTTGGAATACATATGTTCCTCAAATTTGCCTTTGGATTTAGTCACAATGTATTCAGTCACATTGTTCATAAGTCACCGAGAGACATAATTAACATTTGAAGGATATGTTCACTGTTGGTTCTTCCTCCCATGTGAAGTATTGTCTCAGTGTTGGATTTTATCCAGCATGTTGGGCCCCAGGGAATTTCTTCCATTGATGGGCAGAAAGAAAAAAAACAAGAGTTTCTATTTTTAAAAAAACATTTTCTATTTAAAAAATGAAATCATTCACTTTGGGAGGCCGAGGCGAAAGGATTGCCTGAGCCCAGGGGTTTGAGACCAGCGTGGGCAACTTGGTGAGACTGCATCTCTACAATAAATCAAGAAAAATTAGCCAGGTGTGGTGGTGCACGCCTGTAGTTCCAAGTACTTGGAGGGCTGAGGCGGAAGGATTACCTAAACCCAGCAAGTCGAGGCTGCGGTGGCTGTGAGCATGCCACTGCACTCCAGCTTGGGCAACAGAGTGAGACTCTGACACACACACACACACACACACACACACACACACACACACACACACACAAAATGAACTTTGCTAACATGTAATACATGGACTGACCATGGCACCCTCTGTTGGGCTGTATGATGAGTGGTGGTGTCTCATGACTGGTACAAGAGATATCACAGCAGGGAGGCATTGGTGGTATCGCCCTCACTATTTAGTGTTGAGAATATATTGTAATATATTGCTTTTCACGTGCCGGATTATGAGGAACTGCAGAATATATTACCTAATTTCTGCTTAACTAAACCAAGCCTCACAAAACAGCCATTGGCCTTAAAGTATTTCCTTCAAAGAAACCATGAATTAATGACAAGAAAAAAATGCAATGTTAGTATATATTAGAAAAAATGGCAGAGCTGCCACCTCTTCCTTGTACTACCTTTTGCAGCTACATTGAAGGTAAACATGATAATCTGATTATATCTGATAAGAAAATGACCAAAAAAGTAATATGTGACAAAATGAGTGCCTAAAATAAGGATTCACATCCACTGTCATTCATGATAACTAAGTGTAACTACACTCTGAGATACTTGCTAATGATATAGTAAGTATCCCTTACAAATGGCAAGTTGTTTAAAAACTAAGCATCCAAAACATGAAGATAGACCTTACAAATTTTTCTACTATTTTTTGGGGGGGGGATTTCTAATATATATAAAAATAGAGCAATTATGAGTCCCACACCCATCACCTACTTCAGTGTTTACCAAGTCATGGACAACTCTGTTTCATCTTCATCTATATTCCACCCACTTCCCCACCCACAAATGGATTGTTTTGAGGTAAATCATAAACATATATTTCATTCATAAATATTTCAGTCTTTTCCAACAGATGACTTAAAAATGAACATTCCACCCGGGCTCAGTGGCTCAGCCTATAATCCCGCACCTTTGGGAGGCTGAGGTGAATGGATTGCCTGAGTCCGCGGGTTCGAGACCCGCCTGGGCAACTTGGCGAGACCTCATCTCTACAATAAATCAAAAATTAGCCGAGCGTGGTAGCGCGCGCCTGTAGTTCCAGCTACTTGGAAGGCTGAGGCGGAAGGATCGCCGGAGCCCAGCAGGTCGAGGCTGCTGTGGCCAGGAGCGGTCACTGCACTCCAGTCTGGGTGACAGTGAGACTCCGACTCAAAAAACAAAACAAAACAACATTCTGGCCAGGTGCGGTGGCTTTTGCCTGTAATCCCAGCATTTTGGGAGGCCAAGGTGGGAGGATTGCTTAAGCCCAGGAGTTTGAGTCTATGGTGAACCATAATCATGCCACTGTACTCCACTCCAGCCTGGGCAACAGAGTGAGACCTTGACTCAAAATAAGCAAGCAAACAAACAAACAAAATACACACGTGCATATAAAACATTCCATTTTTACACATAAAACAAACAAAGCCAGTTAAGGAACTCTTAATACCACCAAATATCCAGACTATTCAAATTCTCCTAATGTTTCATAACCCTGGTTCGGGGAATACCTCTGAGACTCCCGGTTTAGTTATTGTTCCTTGAGTAAGAACACATACTTACTCTAAAATCCTACCTTAGGATCAAATTCCTACCCATTCTCTCTGAAGCATGTATACCCTTACCCATGGAACATAATCATTGGGTCTGGGAGGGTAATGGAGTGGAAATCTATCTGTCTTGTGGCTGCCCAAACCCATGTTTCTGAGTGTAAGCTCCCCAATAAACGCACCTTATAATGATAAGCTGGACTTGTCTGCTTCCTTCTTTGGTTCGTCGGTCCTTCTTGTTTGGGGGTCGCTTTGCATATATGGCCCTTTCACAGAATGCCTCTGTTATTAACATCTTAATTTGTTATAGTTACTTAGCCAATATTGACACATTATTATTAAAGTTTATATGCTATTCAGATTTCCTCAGTTTTCCCTTAAGGTCCTTTTTTGTTCCAGGATCCCATCCAGAATACTACATTACATTATACTACCTTTTTACATGTCTCTGCAGGCCCCTCTTGGCTAAGATATTTTCTCAGACTTTTCTTGTTTTTGATGACCTAGTTTTAAGGAGTACTGGTCAGGTGTTTTGTAGAATGTTCCTAAATTGATATTTGGGCCAGGCATGGTGACTCACACCTGTAATCCCAGCACTTTGGGAGGCCAAGGTGGGAGGATTGCTTGAGCCCAGGAGTTTCAGACCAGCCTAGGCAATATAGCGAGACCTCATCTCTAAAAATAAAAAAATGTATAAAAAAAGATTTATTTGATGTTTTTCTCATGCTTAGACTAGGAATTTTTTTGTTTTGTTTTGTTTTTTGGTTTTTCTGGTGGTGGTGGGAAGATCACAGAGATAAAGTGCTGTTCCATCACACCATCTCAAGGGTGCTTACTATCAACATGACTCATTGCTACTGGTGTTAACCTGGCTGATGCAGTATTTGTCAGACTTCTCCATTGTAAAATTACTTTTTTACCTCCTTTTCCTTACTGGTGTCTTTAGAAGGAAGTCATTATGCATAGTCCTTGCTTAAGGAGTAGAGAATTACACTTCACCTCATTTCCCTTCTACTTGAAGAATTTCCTTTATTATTTCTTACAGTCTCCTGAAAACAAATTATTTCAGCATTTATTCCTTGAAAATATATTTGTTTCATTTCTTTGACTTTTTATTTTCAAGATTATAGATTAATAGGTAGAGAAATTATTAGTATAGTTATTATAGATAATAGTTTTTAAAATAGTACAGAAAGTTGCCATGTACCATTTTTCCAATGGTAACATCTTACATACATATAATACAATATCAAAACCAAGATCAAAATTGGTACAATCCACAAATCTTCTTCAGACCTCATCAGTTTTATATGCACTAGTATGTATATATGTGTACTTCAATTATTACATGTGTAGATTTGTATAACAAAAACCACAGTCAAGATACAGCTATTCAATTACCACAAAATCTTCCTCATGCTACCCTTATATTCCTTTTCATTTTTGACACATATTTTTGCTGAATATACAATTTTAGGTAGCCTGTGTGTGTGTTTATACTTTAAAGATGTTCCATTTTCTGATCAGAAGTAAGGTATCATCTTATTTTTGCTCCCTTAATGCGTTTCTCCCCACTCTGTCTGCTTTTAAGATTTTCTCTTTGTCTTTGTGGTTGAGCAGTTTGACAATGATGTAACTGCGTGTAGTTTCCATTGCTTTTATGTTGCTTGAGGTTTACTGGCTTTCAAAGTTTGTGAGTTGCTCTTTTTGATCTGATTTTGAAAACTTTCCAGTCAGCATTTCTTCAAGTGTTTTTTCTGTTCATATTCCCTCTCCTTTCATTCAAGGATTCCAATGTTATGTATCTTAGTTTGATAGCATTCTGCCAGTCACTGAGGCTCTGTTTTATTTATTTTTAAATTTTTTTTGATTTATTGTAGAGATGAGGTCTTGCCAAGTTGTCCAGGCTGGTCTCGAACCCCTGGACTCAGGCAGTTCTCTTGCCTCAGCCTCCCAAAGTGAGCCACCATGGCCCAGTCAGAGAAGGCCCTGTTTATTTTTTTCTCAATATATTTCCCTTTTGTAGTTCAATACATTTTTTACAAATTGAGATAATATATTTTTCAATGCTAAGATTTCCAGTTGGTTCTTTTACAGTTTCCATATATCCTGAAACTCTCCCATCTCTTCACCCAATATATTTTTTTGTTTTACATATCATAGTTAAAGTCCTTGTCTGCTCATAATAACCTGTGGATCATCAGAGGTCTGCTTTTACTGAATGACTTTTTTGCTTGACTGTACATCATATATTTTGTTTCTGTTCACATCTATTAATTTTAGTTCATAATTGACATTGTGAATGATATGTTATAGAACTTTTAGATTCTGTATTTTCTATTTTCTCCATTGAATTGTCTTTGTACAATACCTTTGTCAAAATTCAGTGGCCTATATATGTATGGACCTATTTCTGGACTCTCTTCGGTTGATTTATTTGTCTGTCTTTACACCAATATCACACCATCTTGATTACTGTAGCTTTATAAGAAATCTTGAAGTTAGGTAGTCTTATGCCTCCAACTTTGTTCTGCTTTTTCAAAGTTGTTTTGGCTGGCTGGCTAATATAT